AAGCCGTGCTCGCGCCGCTCCCTCCCGCATCCCCTCCCGCATCCCCTCCCGCATCCCCTCCCGCATCCCCTCCCGCATCCCCTCCCGCATCCCCTCCCGCATCCCCTCCCACCGCCGCGCCGGGCGCAGGAGGGCAGGAGGCAGCGGGAAGCGGAGCGGAAGGAGCCGAGCCCCGACATCCAGGAGAGCTGTGCCTGGAGCTGAACCAGGCCAGGCTTCCCATCCCGCACATCCCCATGGAAACCTCGGCCCCGCCGCCCCGCCTCGCACCCGTGCCCGATTGTAGGTCACCGATGGCCGCGCCGGTCCAGGGGGGCGAGGGGGGGGGAGCTCCCCGACACCCAGGGGCTCCTGCCGAGGCTTCCAAAGCTGCGAAGGGGAGAGGGATTGAGTCCTTCCCCCCGTCCCCGCCCACATCCACCCCACTGAGCAGCGTTAGGGGTCCCCGGCAGCATCCCCGCAGCTCTGGCAGCATCCCAGCCCCTCCGTGGACCCCGGGGTGCGTTGGGTGCCCCAGCACGGGGGTTTGCAGCCGCAGGACCGCCCCCACCCCACACCCGGTTCTGCTGGTCCTTCCCCTCCTGCGCTCCCCTCCCAGCACGAGTCCCCTGAATGCTCCATTTGAAGCTAATTCCGGCTGAAATCTGGTTCGCTTTCGAACGTTGCTGCTTTAAATTGGAGAGATTGACCTTGTAGCAGGAGGTGACATGCAGATGCACATCAGCAGCCCGTCAGAGCGGCGGCGGGGGCTGGGGGGGTGCGGAGCCGCCTCGGGGACAGGCCAACTATTTTATGAGTAATTTAATATCTGGAACACAGACTTTTCATTCCCAGAGATCTGCTGGGGAAAGAAAGAGCCTTTCTGCAGCCCTGCGAAGGCTGTTCCTCATAAGGAGGCAGAGCAGAAAAAACAGGGCTGGGATTTAACCCCTTAGTGTCCAGTCCAGCGCAGAGGCTCCCAGCTCCCAGTCCCTGCAGAGGGGCCAGGAAAAGCAGGAGTTCCCTGCACAGCTCAGAGTGGAGACAAGCCAGGCTGTGTTGCTCCAGGCAAAAGAAGTAATTGCCTCCTTCCCATTCAAATTCAAATCCAAGCCTGAGTGAGGATGGGGGAAACAAACAACAGCCCTGAGGTGAGATTTGGGGTAGGAGCTGGTGTCTGAACACTCTTCCCTGTCCCAGACTGGTCCCTGCTGTATCAAACTCCACAGGAGTCCCTCTGGGGTTGGGGCCACCCTCCAGCGGAACCAGTGCACCCAGAGGATCCATGGAGGGAGCTCCTGCCCTGCTGACAATGAAGCCACCATGTGTGACCCCAGTAACCACCAAACCTGAGTTGGTGCTGCTCTACCCTGTTGCTGTCCGCAACATCCCAGCAGGCACAGTCCAGTGCCTGTCCCAGTAATGCCTCTGCCAAAAGCATTCCAGCATCCTGGCACAGCACTGAACCCATACAGATCTTCCCATACTCCCATACAGCTCCTTGTTATGCTTGATGTTATGGTTTGGAGAATGGGAGGGAAGTAAAAACACAATCCCCCCTCCCCTATATTTCACTACACAGTCTGGCCCAAGGGGAGAGGAGGCTGTGCCTCGAAGCTGGCTTTTCAGGAGGGAGCTGCTGGCAAGGGAAAAGCCTCCCTGTATCTGGGAGCAGCGTCACAGGCTGCATAGGAGAAGGGCTGGTTGGAGGGGTTTGCATGGGGGACTGCTCCAGGAGGCCCTGCTGGGTAGCCTGGCTGTGGCTGATGCTTCCAGCAAGGACCAAGCCCAAATAAGGATGATTTAGGAAGGGCTCTTTCTTGGGCAACAGGTACTGGGAACTCATGGACTCAAGTGCAAACAGATCAACACCTTTGCAGGCTCCCCAGCATTTACTGGTGGTGTTAGACCAGACTGTGGGACTGACATCACTGCCTCAATCTCGCTGGCAAACAACACAGTCGTGCTCTCATGTGTCCAGTTCGTCTTCATTTCCACAAATATTGACAGGCATAATGGATTCTCCGCTGCATCAGGTCCTGCCAAAGTCCTGCCTCTGGAGCTTTGGCACAGAGGAAACTTCCAAACCCCAATAGATGATGCAGGAGAAACCTCCACCTGGTTTTCTTGCTGGTCTCTGTTGCTGATCCTTGATGCTCTGTGCCTGGAAACAGGAAGATTTTATTTTAAAACCCTGGCAGCTCTACCAGTCTGTGCTCCTGCTTCCCTCTCTGCTCCCCTCCAGCACCGATGGACCAAAGCACCCCCCAGCTGCTTGGCAAAACACTGACAAACCCTAAAACTCCCCAAGTCACCTTGAAATACCTCCTGCCCCGACTTCAGCATCTGCTGAGCATCTGGTGGCCTCAGCCTGGGCACAGGTGAGGGTCACGGCACCTCCTCGTGACAGGCTGTGGCTGGGCCATGGGGAGGCACCGCGGCCACCCTGAAAATAAACTCCAAAGGGAGCGAGGAGGAGCAGAATGGGCGTGTCAGGGCAGAGCTGCAGAGCACACACAGAGCAGAGGGGGCGTTTGAGGGGCGGGGGGAGCGTGTACAGGGGGGAGGGTGCACCGTGCGAGCACACACAGAGAGCGTGGATGTGCAGGAACGTGTGTACGTGGAGCACAAGTCCTGGGAGAAGCAGCCAACGGAGCTGGGGGGGTTCAGCCTGGAGAGGAGGAGGCTCAGGGGAGACCTTCTCACTCTCTACAAGTCCCTGACAGGAGGGGGGAGCTGGGTGGGGGTCGGGCTCTGCTTCCAGGCAACCAGCAGCAGGACAAGAGGGCACAGTCTTACGCTGCACTAGGGGAGGTTTAGGTTGGACATTAGGAAGAAATTCTTTACAGAGAGGGTGATCAGGCACTGGAATGGGCTGCCCAGGGAGGTGGTGGAGTCACCATTTCTGCAGGTGTTTAAGAAGAATCTGGATGTGGCTATTTAGTGCCATGGTCAAGTTGACAAGGTGGTGTTGGGTCAAAGGTTGGACTTGATGATCTCAGAGGTCTTCTCCAACACAGTTGACTCTGTAATTATGTGTTTCTGTAAGGACAGACACTGCAGGTCTATTCCCGTGGTGCAGCTGTGCAGGGTTGAAATGTGCTGGGCTCAGATGCTCGTGGGGAAGGTGTGAGGAACTAATTAAATACGTAAATTGTCCCTTTCCTGAGGATCAGTGACCGTTGCACTGCCCTGATCTGCCCTTATCATCCACCACACCTGACCCTGCACAGGTTTCTCTCCAGCTCTCCTGTTAATGGTTGTGTTGTTGTTCCAAGATTGCTCCACGTTCTATGAATGAATTCTGGACCTCAAAGCAGGGTGGGGAGGTTTGGGAGCAGACCTGGATCAAAGTTTTGGTGTCCAACAGCATCCCAGATGAAGCTTCCTCTTGCCCACACCTGTCCTATTACATGGGGTTATCCCATGCCAGAAGAAGGACATTGCATTTATTTCCATTAAATGTCAGTGGGCTCCTACCAGCTCATTTTCCAGCCTGTTAGGGCTCTTGGAATGGCAGTGTATCCACTGTACATCCACTGCTCCTCGGTTCAGTGTCTCCTGGTGGGAGATGGAGCTGGTGTTCAATGTAGCCCAGCTCGGTTTTGGGGGTTGCTCTTGTCCTTCTTACCATGTCCTGCTGTCCCGATTTTTGGTGGGATGCTACATCTCCAGCTGTGAAACACCCTGGGTGTTGTGGCTGCGTTTTAAAAGCCACCAGGGCTCTGGCACCGAGAGAACTTCGGGTCGTGACACCCGACACCTCTGCCCCGACCTTCTGAGAGGAGCAGAGGTCTGGGGACACGGGTGGCTGCACACCCGGGGACAAAAGCCTCAAATTTTGCTGCAGGAAGGATGAAGCAGCGATGTGGCGAGGAGGAGGAGGTATGGACTGGGCTGGAAAGGGGAGACTCCCTAATCCCGCCCGCTGCGTCCTCCCAGACCTTATGGGCAGAGCTGAGCCTCTCGCTGCTTCCCGGCCCCTGGAGCTGTGCCCAGCCGAGCATGGTCCCGCTGCTGGGTGAGGGCTGAGCCAGTCTCCAGTGCCATCTGCCGGCAAGTCACCCCCGGCCACGAGCAGGAGCCTCTAAGCTAGTCACAACAGCGTCAGTCACTGTCTTGCGCTGGTAGAGGGACACCTGAGCATCCCAGAGCTGCGGGGGGCCCTCTGGACATACAAGCAGACGCGGAGAGCTCCACAAATCCGACCCATATCGCACCCACCTCCCTAAGACCCTTTATCATCATCCTCTCCATCCAGCCCCACGCTCCCACAAAAATTCTCTTTTCTACTTCCTGAATGTCCTGTGTCCACCGTGAGCTGGGTTGAGGTCTGCAGACAACTCACCACCCAGGTACAACACTGGGTTGTCACCTGCCCCACGCCGGGGATGTCATTGGGTTCCTCAGCTTTAATTCATTTGGATGTCTTCGAGTCCATCAGCTCTACTGTTAATGAGGAGACCTCAGGGAGGACTTGGCTGTGCTGCAGGACATGTGTGTGTCGGTTCTCTGCTGGGGTTTTGGGGCTATGTGGGCATAGCTGTGTGTTCCACACCGTTCCCATCATGGCATCAAACTGCCTTCCCTTGTGACACACACATTATCACAAGCTTTGACAAATTCCTGTGGATACTTTTGTCGCCACCACCCGAAAAAAAAAATCTAAGAGAAGTTGGGTTCCCAGATCCTGCCACTGTCAGGAGTCTCCAGTACAGCACCATCTCCAGTATCTTCCCATCTACCATCAGTACCCAGTGGCCCCAGTTATGTCATGTGTCCTGTCCCCTGCTAGAGGCCAGGCTGCCTCTCCATGTTTTCCTAACCCTAGGCTGGGACTCTCTGGGTGTCTTGGAAGGTGATCCTCAGCCTGGTGTGCAGCAGGAACTGCATGAGTTGTCTGGCTCTGCTCAGCAGTAATGAGATCCTAATAAGCCTGGGCTGCACCAGGAGGATGGAAAGCAATGCCCTGGGTATGTGAACATTATGTGGGGGGAAAAAAGGCAAATCCGAGGCAGAAAGGGACCGACAACGCAAAAAAGCTGTCATTTAATGGGCGAGAATGTCAGCAATGCACTTGGGGCACCGATTTGGGAGCCGAGAGTCATTCGCAGGGGAGTCCTCAGCCCTGCAGAGGGGGCTGCAGAGACACCGCCAGTGGGCTAAGCCTCAGGGAAGATGAGGAAGCCGGAGAAGATGCTGTCGGACCCCTCGATCCCCACCAGCGAGTTCTTCTCCGTCGGCTCCAGCCAGACAGACTCGTTCATTGCCATCTTGAGGACCACGCCGCCCGTGGTGACCTGGAAACTGCTGTGCACGTAGTCACAGAAGGTCACCACCTTCTCACCCCTGCTGCCGCCCCGTCCCTTTTTGAAGCTGAGGCACAGGTTGCCCCTGGAGGTGACGTGGTAGGTGAAGTAGTAGATGCCGGGGACGCGGCAGATGAAGCGGCCGTAGCGGTTCTCGTAGTGCCCCCTCTCGTTGGTGACCACGCGGTCGAAGCGGACGGGCTGCTCCCGGCGGGGGTAGGTGCTGATGCTCCTGGCAGCGGAGAAGGCAGACTTGAGGGTGGCCTGGTAGTCTCCAGAGTCCCCCGGCGGGCCAGGTAATCCGCTGAGACCTGGTAATCCCCTGGCGCCTGGTGGGCCCCTGGGGCCGACCTTCCCCGGGTACCCTGGCTCTCCCGGGTCTCCCTTCTCCCCCAGCTCTCCTTCGTGCTCCGCCCGACCAGGAGGTCCTAGGAAGCAGGAAGAAGAGTCATTGTGGTCACAGCTGAGCCCCACAGGTCTGCAGAGGGATCTGGGGAAGGAAACCTGCCCTTGATGTGGGTCAGACCCCTGCCCAACTGGCAGGTGTGAGGGGATGAAAATCTACCTCCAGTAATCTGTCAAGATGTAGAAAAGCTACAGAAATTTGTGAAAGAGCAAAAACAAGTTCAGGAAGAAACTAGTGGGATGTCCTCTAAACAATGCTTAAAGTAGAAGAAGACATTAAAGCTTTGAAACAGCTTCTGTCTGTAGTTGCCAGTGAAACACTCTTAATATCGACAAGCTGAAAGTGGAAACTGCACAGGAGCTAAAGAATGCAAAAATAGCATTGCAAACACTGAAGACTTGCTGTTGTTCACCCTCCTTCCCCAGGTTCCTCCGTGTGCTCCAGTCTGTCCAGTCTCTTCTGTCCCTGAGCATCACCCCCACCTGACAACACCTCAAAGGAACTGGTGAAAATGGATTGCTTTCCCAGGACCACGTACCCAGCTCTGCTTTTTCCTGCTCTTGGCATTCAGAAGATGATTGTCTTCCCCACCTGCAGCCTCCTCCTTACCTTGCTCGCCCTTTGGGCCATTCTCCCCATCTCTGCCATTGCTGCCAGGTTGTCCTGGTGACCCTGGGATGCCTGGGATGGTGCCGTAGGTCTTGCAGAGCGTGGCACTGGCAAGTTGCCCTTCAGCCAGGCAGATCAGCATCACCCACACGATCCACATCTGCAGAGGTACAGAAGGGTGTGGAGGGGCTTGCCTGGGTGGTGGGAGGGTTGGGGAGGGCACTCTATGCTACCCTGAAGGATGGTGGCTGGAAGGACATCTGGGTAACATCATCAGGGAGGGAAAACATCCTACTGCGGAGCCAAATCTGCTGTCCTGATGGCCTTGGAGGGAAGGACCACTCCCTTTGGGCGAGGCAGAGATTGTCAGTCTCTGGTCATCTTAAATTCCCAGTTTGCAAGTGCCCACAACTTCAGCCACATGAATATCTGGGACAGGTTATCCCAGAGGTCTGATGTCCAGCCTGGCCATGCTGCTCCCTCAGGGGGAGAAATTCCTCATCCCATCTCAGGACCACAACTGCAGGGGACAATCTTTCCTCCAGCCAGGGCAGTTCTGAGGGACAGCGTTGGTCCTTGAAGATGGCAATGAATCCCCAAACCTTCCCCTGCACCCTGCAGCTTCCCCTTGTGTCCTGCCACATGGCTGCTCCATCCCAGAGGCATTTCTGTACCTAAACAATATTACTGGGACAGTCATTTGGGTTTCCATTCCCCGAGGTCTCACATTCCTTCTGCCCTCCCTGCATCCCACAACTCAGTTCCTTCCCCCAGGTCCTGGTATGGATGCCTGTGGATAAGCACCTGGCATTTGGGGGCTGTATCTGGACGTCACATCACCCCAACCAAGTCCTCCAGCCTCAGGTGGACTTTCCCAGCACTGAAATTCTGGTGCTAGCAGGACAAGAGGTTGGTGAGTTGGATTCTCCAGCCATGGCAGGTCCATGGATGTGACAGGATGAATTCACAGGCTCCTAGCCCAGGTCTATCACATGACCAGAGCATCTAAGAGCAGGAGACCACACCCCGGGCACCTTTCAGGCTGATGCCCAGTCCCTGATCACCCCTCTGGGACTTTGCAATCTCCCCTTTCATGTTCTCCTTTCTCCCAGGTGGAGCAGGAGAGGTTGGGGTCCCACCAGAAATCTCCACCATCCCCACCCAGCATCCCCACCACCCCTTTTCTCTACTGCCCCAAGCCACAGGGAAGTGCCAGGGGTGTAGGTGACTGCCACCCTCCTTGGACCAGGTGTTCCACGTGCTCCTGCCCGTGTGGGGGGCTGGGGCTCAGCCTTGCTCTTACCTTGAGCTCCTTGTTGCTTGGGTGGGGAGATGGAGTGGGACACACCAGCGTCCTGGTTGGAAATGGCTGCGAGGAGAAGCAGAAGCTGGCTGCAGGAGTTATTGTGAAAGGGTCTGGGACACATCCCATTTTTTTATCTTTAGCTCCTGCCCTTTTGTCCGTGGCAGTTTCACATCCTCCACGAATGCTCCCTGCCAGCTCAGCAGACCCAGGTCCCTGGGTCCTGCTCAGATGCCCCCCCTGCTCAGAAGAACACTGACCTGAGCTCCAGACAGGTTTGGGGTAACCCATCGGTGCTGCAGAGTTGTGCGTGCGTTCAGCCAACCTCCCTCAGGCTGCTCCGCACCTTCCCAGCTCTGCTGGGAGGTTCTGGCAGACCCAGGGGATGCTGCAGGGTCTTGGCATCCATCATCTAGAATATGTGCCCCAGGCTCTCCTAAATGTTGTGTGTGGGAAGTGATTTTACCCTGCGGGAAAAGCATTCCCAGGCCTGCTTTCCCCTGCTGCCTTGAGAAGGTGAAGCGCAGGACGTCGGGATATGACCTGTTCCACCCCACAATGTGTGCCACCAGGAGGAGTCCCTACTGAGTTTTGGTGGGCTCTGCAGCCTCCACAGCCATGAACTCCTTTGGTCTGGGTCAGGGAAGCAGAGCTCTGTCCCTGCCAGGGCTGGGACCCCGGGGATATCCCACCCTCAGTGGCTTGTCAGTGGGGTTTGCTGCGTGGTCTGTGCCCATCTGCAGCTGGATTGCTTCCACTTTGATGGGGAAGGGGAGGAGCAGGGGCCCTACTTGGAGGAGTCTTGGTCCTCCCTTGGTGGGGCCTGTGTGGGGGCAGAGGAACCATCCCGTTCTTGCAGGCAGTGCAGCCAGGGGTTGTACCCTCACCCCACCCCAAGCCAGGGTGTGGATGGTGCGTGATGTCACTGACACTGAGCACAGCGAGGGCTCAGGGACTTGCTGATGCCACACAGATGTCCAGATGTCACACACACATCCATCACCATATCCATCAGGCTCTGCCTGCAGAAAGGCAAGTCATGGAGGACACAACACACTATACCAGACCCACTGGGGAAGGATTTATTGACACTTTCCACGGCCAGGTCGTGGCAAAGGGGCTGCTGCAGCCCCAGGACACCTGGCTGAACCTGGGGCAACCAAGGTGGGGAGGGGAGAGAGGCAGAGAGACCCCTGAGGTAATGTTGGGTTATCGGGTGGGGTTATAAGGCAGTGCCAGTGGGACAGGAGGCTCAGCACCATCACTCTGGTTGCAGATGCATCCAGATGTGCCTGTTCCCCCTGTTCAGCAGCTGCCAATGCTCAGTCTCCACACTGAGGGATTGTGTCTGGCTGCTGGGGGTGATGCCCTCGTTGGGGCTTCCCACTCAGCAGAGAAACTGGGAGTGTCAGCAGCAGCCTGGCAGTGAGCAGTGTGTTTGGGGCAGGATGAAGCAGTCAGGGTGCTGGGGTGGGCTCTGGTGACCCTCTAGTCTGGGAAGAGCAGGAACCCTGAGAAGATGCTGTCAGAGTTGGCGATGCCCACCATGCCGTTGTAGTCGTTCACTCCCAGCCAGACCTGGTCCTCAGCATCCAGGTGGAGCAGGAGCCCCCCCGAGCTGACCTGCATGGTGTTGGTCTTGTGGTCACAGAAGCTGGCCATCCTCCTCTGGTTCTTGTGCAGGATGGTGCAGAGGTTGGCTGTCTGTGAGGTGTGGAAGACGAAGTAGTAGAGCCCGGGGAGTTTGCAGGTGAACTTGCCCGTGGTGGTGTTGTAGTCGTGGTTGGTGTTGGTGATGACGTGGTTGAAAATCACAGGGACGTTCTTCAAGGGGTGCTCCTTGGTCTGCCTCGTCACTGAGAACGCTGACTGGTGCTTCTGCTTGTAGCTGCCTGGCATTCCTGGCTCTCCAGGTGGGCCCATCACCCCAGGGTCTCCAGCGGGACCAGGAAGGCCACTGGGACCCTTCTTACCTGGCAAGCCAGGGCTGCCCGGTTCCCCTTTCATGCCCTTGGGCCCTTGCATTGCAGGAGGAGCTGGGATACCTGTGGGGTGGTGGGGAGTGAAAGGGAGTCGGTGTCAATAGCAGGATGTGGGGAGAGGCTTCTTCTCCCTTGGGCAGGAGAGTGCTGTTGCCTCTTTCCAGCCTGACCACAGAGGATGCTCTCCCCAGCCTGCAAACCAAGGCAGACCAGCCATGCTCAATGCTCCCCACTGCAACAGCCCTGTGGTTTCCCTCATTTCTCACTCACCTGGCTCCCCTTTGGCTCCCTTCAGCCCATCCCGGCCATCCTTGCCCGGTACACCTGGCATTCCTGGCAGGCCTGGAGCTCCATAGCAGTTGAGAGGGGCATCTCCATTCACAGCAGAGCCCACATTCAGGAGGAGGAGGGTGAGGGCCAGACTGAGCTGCTCCCAGAATCTCTGCTCCATTTTGGTTCTGCAGCATGCAAAGGGAAAGAAATGCTGGAGTGAGGGGCCATGGCAGGGTGGCTTCCAGGGCATGGAGAAAAGGAGGCTGGCTGCATCAGGAGCTCCTGGGCCCCATGCGTGTGCCCTCAGTGTCCCACCCCTACCAACTGCCAGGTAGTGAGGAGGTGGATAGGTGGAGATGGGCCCTGTGCTCATCACCAACCCCAGGGCAGTCACTGATGGCACAAGTTGGGTTGGACTTCCAGCCTGGATGAAGCCATGAGGTCTGTGGTACCCATGGCCAGCTCCAAGTCCTCCCAGTCCAGTGTCCAAGCCCCTGGTGATGCACACACCACTGTGGACTGCCACACTCTGCTGCACCAAGGCTGGAGCTCCCTGGACCCAGCTGATCTCATTCCCCCTTCAGCAGCAGCCTCACTGTCTTGGCTCTGTCCCTCAGGTTGATCACTTCCATCTGCTGGTGCATCCATGACCATCCATGTGTGCAGCCCAGCAGTGCCTATCTCCTTCCCCTCCTCCTCCTCCTCCTCCTCCTCCTCTTCTCACATCCACATCCTCCTCACAGCACTGGGCCACACTGCTGGACCCCCAGGCCCCCTGCAGCCCCCCCTGGACACACAGACCCTGCAGCACCTCTTACCTCTGGTGGGGAGCAGGGGACAGGACTCTGTGCTGCTGGTCCCTCTGGCCGTGGCAGTCACTGCACAGGGACAGACCCTGTCACCCCCACGGAGGAAGTTGCAGATTTAGGAAAGGCCCTTGGGGACCCAGAACCCCCAGCTGTCCCCAGCAGAGTTTCACATCCTTCTGCCTGGTTGTTTCTGCTGAGTGAGCACTTTCTTGGCTGTCTAGTGAGACCTGCACTTGTGCCACTGCAACAGGAAGGGCTGGAAGGACAGAAGTGGGACAAAACTTTGCCAAAAGATGTACCACCACCCTCAGAAGCCTCCATGGGGACTAGCTCTCCCGAAAATCACCTGCTTTCCCCTTTACTTCACTTGTTTCTGAGCAAAAGGGCAGCGTGGAGAGCAGAGCCTCAGGCCAACTCTGTTGGGCTTAGAGATGCCTGTGACACTGAAGGGCTGGTGCAAGGGCACTGCTGGGCTCTAATGGGAGATGCTGCACCCCTAAATGGGACTGGAGGGTGTTTCTCCTTGAGAGTTTCTGACCTGCACCTCCCACTGTGCTCCACCAGTTCTGCTGGGTGCTGGACTTTGTGAGGCCCCAGCATCCCTCATCAGGGTGTTGCTCCACTCAGTGACCTGACCTTCTCCTCACAGCTCCAGGAACGGAGACATTTGAGTGCCCAATGTGTGTGCAGTAGCTCCCCTGAGGAGCAGACCCAGGGTATGGCACCTATGTGTCTTCCCTGATGCTTCCCAGCTGTCTGATTCGTGCCCAGCTTATTGTGCCTCCCACTCATCTCACCCCAAGGCCCTCACAACTCCACCACCAACACCCCACAACCCCATCAGTCACCCTGATATCCCTGTCCCTCCTTGCTGGAAGGCCAGAGGACCACAGCTGCCTTTCTTCTTCCTAGGAGAGTTTGGGTACTAACAGGGGCCACGTTGGTGAGGTGCACGACCTGCTGCCTGTGTTTTCCCTTGCAGGACAGCTGCCTTGGGCTCAGCAGAGAAGGACACACACAGCCTAATCCCAGCATTCCTCCCTGTAAGTGTCAGCTCTGACTGGACACTCCATTCCCTCCTGTCCTTCTCCCTCTGCAGTGCCAGGGACAAGCTGGGATCGCTTCTCTCCCTGGACAGCTTGGGGAGGGATCCAGGACATTCATGGTTTGGGGAAGATTGCATGAGTAGAAAAGAAAACTCAAAGAGATATGGTGAAAGAAGGGTTTATTTATACTGATGGGGAGGATGTGAGAGAATGTGTGCCAGTGCCAGGAAGGCATTTACAGTGGTTAGTGTAGCAGAAGCAGTGGCAGGCAGTGATTTCCCACTCAGGAGCAAAGAGCCACAGCCGGTGATAACTGGGACTTTCTGGAGTGAGGTATGAATGCCCAGGAGGAGAAAGGGATGAGAGTCCACTGCCTCCAGGATGGAGTGGGCAGGCTCAGCACAGAGGTGACCCACGGCCTGGCCAGTTGTGACATTCTTGGAAGCACAGGACCCATCTGCACGCTCAGACCCCGGCGTGCTGTGGCACTAAACCATCCCACACCCACAGGGGGATCACCCACGCAGACAGACACCCCGCCATGCCCTGGGGGCCCCTCAGCCTGTCTGTGGGAAGAGCATGAAGCCACTGAAGACGCTGTCAGCCTCAGAGCCGCTGTAGATTGAGCTGCCCCGGGTGGGGTTGGTGGTCACGGACACCTGGTCGCCCGGGGCCAGGTTGAGGACGCTGCTGCCCGAGTTCACCTGCAGGACGCCGACGCTGTTGTTGTCGCAGAAGCTGACGACATTCTCCCTGTTCTTGGTGATGCTCAGGCACAGGTCCCCGCTGGAGACCACCTGGTAGGCGAAGTAGTAGAGCCCGGGGATGCGGCAGGTGAACTGCCCCGTCTGGGGGCTGTAGGAGTTCTCCTCGTTGGTGATGATGTTGTCGAACACCACCGTCCTGCCCATGGATGGTGGGGACCTCCGCGAGGCGGAGAAGGCAGGGCGTGGTTGCTCCAGGGTATTGCCGGGTCCCCCCTTCTCCCCCTTGAACCCTGGCAGCCCTGGCATCCCAATGAAGCCAGGGGGGCCAGGGAGGCCACGGTTCCCTGGAATGCCAGGAGGGCCGGGTTCGCCTGCATCCCCTTTGGGTCCCTGGATGCCCGTCCTTGGCGCTGGTCTCCCTGGGGAGAGGTGGTGAAGAGGAGCAGTTGGTGCACATCCAGCATCTCCCAAGCTGCTCCCACAGCCTGGGATGCTCCTATCCAGAGGTTCCCAGGCTCCCCACGCTGGGCATCTCAGGCTTCCCCTTACCTGGCTCTCCCATGTCACCCTTCTGCCCTGGCCTCCCATCGCGCCCAGGGACTCCAGGGAAGCCATCCTTGCCATCTGGTGCCCGGCAGACTCCATTCTCCAGCAGGGCTGTGCTCAGCACTGCTGCCAGGGTGCTGATCCCCAGCCAAAATTCAGGTTGCATCCTGCCTCCTACAAGCAAAAGGGTGGGGAATTGGGGATGGAGGCGAACACACAGATCTTGGGCACAGGCATGCAAGTGCTCTCAGCACTTGTTTGATACAATTCACCAGACACCACATGCAGTGGTGGAAACAGCTTCCTAGAAGGGTTTTGGAGGTGTTTCCTTGTGTGATCAGAAATAACAGAAGTCGATGAAAATCTCTGACATGCCCATGGTAGGACTGTGGGATTAGAAACCCAAGATGTAGACAACAGCAAAAACCCAGGATGTAGAGGACAGCTGCATGTCCTGGGGATGGGTCGTGGCTCCTCAGATACATGTAGAGGATGTTTATTGCAGTTTTGAGGGAGAAGCAGTGATGTACAGGGCTGTGGTTCCATGGGATAGAGAACACAAGGGAAGAAAGGATGCAAAGAGACATGACAGGAAGGGGAAAATAGGAAAATGGGATCCAAATCTCCAACACACAGAGCTGGGAGAACGGAGAGATGCCCTGAGCACACAACACCTATCTCAAAACCTGAGGTACTCAGCCTGGGACAAGCCTGCAGAGCCCAGTGATGTCCACAACCACACAGGGCAAGGACAGACTCTTGCAGCTCCCCCCACCCTTGCGTCATCTCCTCCCATTTTCCTACTTTAAACTCCTGTGGAGGGGGAATGTGAAGAAAGAATGAGGAGAGGGAGCAAGGCCAGGAGAGTGGTGGCAGAGGAGGAGTGTGTCCCCTGCTCTTTGGGGTGACTTACCTCAGTGCAGGAGGTCAAGACAGACCAGAGTGAGCAGCAGCTCAGTTTGCTGGAAGCTCTTCCCTGGGAGCAGGGAGGAAGAGGAGCAGGGTGGGAGGATGTCTTTGCACGCACGGTGGTTTGCCCGGTCAGGGAAGGGACGTGCTGAGTTTCACTTTCTCTGTACCAGAAAGAACTTTGTTCCCCTTTCTGCTCTTGACTCTGGCTGTGCTGGAAACAGCTTGGTCAGCAAGAGTGCAGGACTGCTGGGTGCCTAGCCTGGCCCAGCAGCACACCTCCCACAGCAGGGACTGGTGGACACTGGGCACAAAGCAACATGACAGTGGAGGGTGCCCAGAGGCTGCCCAGGGCAACACCACAGCTCTGTCCCTGCAGGAGGGGACAGGGGATCACAGCACCAGGTGTCACAGGAATGCTCAGAGGGGGCTCAGGGATCACCTTTGAAGGCTCCTGGTCTGGGTGATGAGCAGAGTGTGTCTGCCACTGGTACCCAGCCTTGTCATAGTGGCTGCTGGGGGCTGACCCCTCCAGATGCCCACCTGGGCACTGCAGCCTGAGGGAGCAGGGAATGTCAGTGCCTGTGTGGCTCAGCAGGACCTTGAGCATTTAGGCTGGATATTAGGAAAAGGTTCATCTTCCAGAGGATGATTGGGCACTGAACAGGCTCCCCAGGGCGGTGGTCATGGCCCCAAGGCTGTCAGAGCTCAAGGAGTGTTTGGACAATGCTCTCAGGCACAGAGTGGGATTGTTGGGGTACCTGTGCAGGGCCAAGCAGTTGGACTGATGATCCTTGTGGTTCTGTTGCAGCTCAGGATATTCTGTGATCCTATGGTCTCCTTCCCACTGCCTTCTCTTCAGTGCTTTGGGGACCTTGTGCCTGTAGTAGAGGGGGTGTCTGACACTGCTTTCAGTTCCCTTTGGGTGGCTGTGCCTTGCACCAACCAGATCTGGGCAACCCCTGGAGCTGTGTGGCCTCATGAGACTGGACAAATGAAACACCAGCATTTCATCCCACTGAGTGCAGGGAAAGAGCCCAGGGATGTGCCTTCAGCTCTGCTAAAAATGAGCCCCGAAATGCCACAGGTGTCCAAACCCCATCGTGCCAGGGAGCGAGTGGTGAGAGGTGCCACGATGATCCCAGCAGGGACCTTGGGGTCCTTGGGACCCTGGGGACCAGCCAGGGGAGACACAGTGGGTTGTGAGGAGGGGCTTTCTGATCCGTATCCACCTGGAGTGTCTTTTCAGGTGTCCTATGGCAGCTGCACTGACCTTCATGACAAAGAGACATTGGGGTCCCCAAAGCTGGAGCTGGGGTTCAGAGGAGAATGTCCAAGGAAAGAGGGCAGTGAGCAGGGCTGGGATTAGGGTGGCTCTAAAGTCCAGGGGTGCTGGCAACCCTCCCTTTCCCCCCTGCTGCCACCTCTAGCAGTCCCAAGGAGGGTGTTGCATCATATCTAATACAGCTGAAAAAGGGAATGACCAAAGCTCAGTGCCAAGACCATTGCCACCAGAGATCTGTCACTGAGCTGGTCTTTAATTCATTGAATAGATGCCCTCTTAATGTAATATAATACATATTTTTAATCAAAATGTCATCCCATAATAAATCAGATGCCCAGAAGAAATGCAATTTTATTTTATCAACAGAGTTCCTCTATCAACCAGACCTGTAACCGTGTCAAGACAAGATGACAGGTGAGTTTGAAAGGACCTACCTTCCACCAAACGATGCTTCTGGACAGTAATTGTATTTCTGCCCCATTGCCCTTTCTTAATATACAGCCCAAATGAGACCACTCCATCATTTCATCCAGGATTGATCGATGGCTGGTCCTTGTGCTCCCATGTCCTTTGTCTCCTGTTGTCCCTTTAACCCCATTTAAATGCTGAATTACAGGGGCTGCTTGTGGGTCTCCAGTATCTCCTTGAAGCTGTGCTTATTCCAGGTGTTCCCTCCTCCAGACTCCTGAGCAGTGTTTAGCCCCACCTGTGTGACTTTCAGAGTTGCTGTGGTCAAGCCAAGCTTTCTTCTCCCATCCTCTCTCTCCTCCTCCTCCTCCAGATCGGCAGCTGGGACATGGCAGGCTGGTTTGTGTTGGAAGGGACCTTAAAGTTCATCTCGTTCCACCCCCTGCCACGAGCAGGGACACCTTCCACTAGCCCAGGTTGCTCCAAGCCCTGTCCAACCTGGCCTTGGACACTTCCAGAGATGGGGCAGCCACAGCTTCCCTGGGCAACCTGTGCCAGGGCCTCCCCACCCTCCCAGGGAAGGATTTCTTCCCAACACCCCATCTAACCCTAACCCCATCCTCTGGCAGTGGGAAGTTACTCGAACTGCCACCCGTGGCTCCAGAGGTGCCGGCTGCGGGGAGCCGTGGATGAGCGCTGCACGGTGCCATCCCGAAGGCTGCCGCAGACCACAGATGCCAGCGCAAGAACCCTCGTCCTTCCGATTCCCGCAGGGCTGTCCGTGGGAGCGGGAGGTGGCCGGGGGGCCGCGGGCAGGGTCGGCTCGGCAGCGACGGGACGCGCCACGAGATGGCAGCGCTGCCTCAGCCGTGCTCGGTGCCACCCGCTCCTCTCCCCGAAGCAGGGGCGGGGAGACTCCCCCGGGGGTCCCCCTGTCCCCGGGTGTCCTGCGGGATGTCCAGGTGCGGAGTGAGAGCACGGACATCTCTGCGCGTTGGGAGCCAGGATAACCCACCCCCTCCACACGGCCACAGAAGCCCTTTCCCGGGGGTGGGGGCACTTCGGTACCCCTCGAGACTGGGGGAGAAGGGGAGTTTTCCTCAGTGGGGAAAGGAACTCCATGGTGGGGCGTGTGAACCCTGCCAGGTTCTCCCGGCTGAGGTGGATCCAGCAGCACCATCACTCCATCACGGAGAAGGGGCCACGTCGATACGTGGGACCCCCGGGTGATATGGAATGGGGCCAAGCCCAAGGCAGAGGGGACAGTGGGTGTACCTGGAAGAGCCAGGGGATGCAGATGCTCTTCAGAGCTCCAGGTGTCACAAAATCATCCCCAAAGAGGATGGTGCCCTCGGTTTTGGGGAACCCGACCACTCAGGTGAGCATCCCCATGATTTAGGGCACCTGTCGTGGCCTCCTGGCTCTGCTGCACACCAAGCAACTCTGCTCCAGAGGATTTTACCCTGAGCAACCCTCCTCCTTTCAGAATGGGTTCAGGATGGGCCATGGGGCAACACCTTCACCTCTTGCTGCCCTCCCAGCTGGTGCTGACAGGCAAGATCAGTCAGTGCCATCCCAGCCTTGCAGCCTTTCATGGCAGAGCAGTGACCCCTGTGGAGCCTCCCCACGTCTCCCCAGTGCCTGCAGGCACACGTGAGCTGCCTGACAGCAGACAACAGGGAGAGATGCTCCTTCCCTGCTGGGGATCCCCAGGGTGATGAGCTGACAGGCAGGAGCTGCCAGAGGAGGAGAAATCTGGCAGCTGGCACCTCCCTGTCGCTGTGCAGGAGGCAGAGATGGAGATCAGCAGTGCTGTCAGGTACCACACACACCTCTGCTGCCAGTCACAGCATCCCAGGGCAGACCTCCACCCACTGGGAGGTCAGGACAGCCGCGAGCATGCACCCTGCTGCAGCCACTGGGGGGTTAATGGTGCCTGGATAACCACACAGATGGATGTTAGAGCTGTTGAGCTGGGCTGTCCCAAAGTAGAATCACAGAGTCGTGGAATTATTAGGGTTGGAAAAGCCCTCTAAGATCATGGAGTTCCACCATTAACTCAGCACTGCCATGGCCACCCCCAAACCATGTCCCCAAGTGCCACATCCACACGTTCTTTGAACTCTTCGGGTGATGGTGACTCCATCACTGCCCTTGGCAGCCTGTTCCAATGCCTGACAGCCCTTTCAGTGAAGGAGTTGTTCCCAATATCCAACCTAAACCTCCCCTGGCACAAATTGAGGCCATTTTCTCTGTCCCGTCACTTGTTATCTGGGAGGAGAAACCTACCCCCACCTGGCTCCACCCTCCTGTCAGGAGGTTGTGGAGAGTGATGGTGCCCTGGAAGGATTTCCTGACATGTCAGGTGAAAATCAGGCTGCAAGGCCACTTGCCACACTGCGTAGCTGCCACACATCTGAAATATTTAAATTGCTGTCCCAGGGAATGTGTTGTTCCTATGAAAAATCCTTGCAGAAAGCAGATGTGAGGAATAAAGACAGGTATGTGGTTTAAAAGGCAGGATTTCAGGCTCCAGCCCTTGCTCACTGTCATTGATGCACATCCCTGTCGGCTCATGGGGTGAGAGGAGATAGATGAGTGCTGAGCAGCCCTGGGCAATGTTGGGAAAGCTTGTCCCATCCTTCCCTCTTTTGTCCCCTGTTAAGAATGTCAGGGCTTGTCATTATTCGACATATATTGGTTAATTTGGCTGATTGTTACCCATTCTTTAATGTATCCGTTATTTATTTATTCTCTGGTGTAACAAGCAGTTCCAGATTGATCACTTTGGCATGTAAATGAGCTGCTCTAGTGCTTGTCACTGAAATTTGTACATTGGGAGAATTTGCAATCAAACACAGCCGGAATCTAAATTACAACATTTCAGGCAGTAATAGCAGGGAGAAGACAGGAAGGATGTGCCATAAGTAAGATGGGATCAAGATGGGGTGCCCAGAGCTGTGCTGACAACACACCAGGAGCCCCATGGCAAGCAACAGGAGTCCCCACAGTGCAGAGACATGGTCCTGGCAGACCTGGCTTGTTCCCCCAGCAGAGAAGGCCAAACAGACTAAGCTGTGGAAAGGACCTCAGGGATCTCCATTCCAGGTAGTTGCTCATGGCAAGAGTATTCCCAGCCCTAGGTCAGGGTGGATATGGCTTTGCTTACCCGAGCCTTGAAACCCCCCCAGGACAGAGACCACCCATCGCTCTGGTGACCTGTCTGAGGGCTGGACCACACTCAGCTAAAGAAGCACTTCCTAATGTCCATCTCAAATCTCTGAAGGTCCACTCTGTGACCACCATCCCATGTGACATCATTTGGCATTAGTGAGATGTCCTGGACTCTATTTCCTTGCAATAGCTCCCAAGCAGCTGTAGCAGTGATCAGCCACCACCACATCCCAGTGGGGTGGCTGCCCCACCCCTGATCAT